CTGCTGCTGCTGCTGCTGCTGCTGCTGCTGCTGCTGCTGGTGCTATCGCAGCAGCAGCTGTGGCGGAGCCAGATGGCGTGGAACAACAGAAGAAGCAGCAGCAGCAGCTCCTAAGGCAGCAGCAGCAGCAGCAGCAGCAAACTGCCACCACTGCCAATACCCCACCACAAGCTGTACACACACCTCAAACAAACTACCAGCAGCAGCAGCAGCAGCAGCAGCAGTTGTGATTGGGGTGTATGTACAGACCTGACCCACGACTTTCCCGAGGAAGCTCGACAAGTTAACGGCTGTTCTCTGTCTCAGTTTAACGCCTACGTGGACTTGCTGCAGCAGCTGCTGCAGCAGCAGCAGCCGCAGCAGCAGCAGCAGCAGGGAGAGCAGCAGCTAGCAAATAAGCTTCCCTTCGTGGGCAAAACCATTACCTTCTTTTTGCCGCAGCTGGGGGCTTCTGCAGCAACGCAATTTGACGCCTTAGACTGTGTGCAGCAGCAGCAGAAGCAGCAGAAGCAGCAGCAGCAGCAGCAGGAACAGCAGCAGCAGCAGCAGCAGCGCAAGGCGAAGCAGCTGGTTCGCCCAGTGTATGTACACCTTCATTCCCTGCCCTTGGATATCCATCGGTCCCAAGTCGAGGCCATTGTGGAAAAGTGAGCACAAACCCTAAACCCTAAACCCTAAACCCTAAACCCTCGACCCTAAAACTTGACTCCCAAACCAATTATTGCAGGCTCTAAACCCTAGAAATCGTGTACAGGAGGCCGTGGTACCTGCTGCGAAGGTACGTAGTGTCTAGGGTTTAGGGTCTAGGGTTCAGTGTTTAGGGTTTAGGGTTTAGGGTTTAGGGTTTAGGGTTTGTCTGCAGCCTGTACCTCCGCCTGACAGCAGCAGTTGAAGGAATAGAAGAGCCTCTACAAGAAGTTGCAAAGCCGGCGCCGCTGCTAACCCCCAAAAACAAGGAAAAGTAAACCCTAAACGCCAAACCCTAAACCCTAAACCCTAAACCCTAAACCCTGAAAGCTGCTTAGCGATAGGCTAAACCCCAAACTCTAAACCCTGGACGCTAAACCCTAGGTGAGTAACAGGCGCTGAAGCTGCGTGAAATTCGAGGAATTTACGACCTAGTCAGCCCTAAAGGGTTTAGGGTTTAGGGTTTAGGGTTTAGGGTTTAGGGTTTAGGGTTTGCGGCGTCTGTGATCAGGCAGGCGATGGAAAGTCTTTTTCAGCAGCAAATAGATGAGGTGGCCTTCAAAGACGCTTTGTACCAGCAGGATATCAAATACATTGCGTAAACCCTAAACCCTAAACCCTAAACCCTAAACCCTAGGCCCTGAACCCTAAACCCTAAGCCCTATTTCTTTAATCCAGTGCTCTGCATCCTAGGCCCGAGCTTTTGGGTCAGCAGAAATGCGGACAAGACTCTAAACCCTAAACCCTGAATCTTGGAATCTAAGTCCTAAATCCTAAGCCCTAAACCCTAAACCCTAAACCCTAAATCCTTGTTTCGTGGCTGCAGACGGGTCAAAGCCATG